TTAAATGTTGTTAAAGGGGGTCTATTGCAACGTGTGGATGAGTGAATGTTGCTAAAGGGGTCTATGACAACATTTTTTAAAATCTAATAGTGTAGTTCCATACAACCCAAATAACAAATCATATTCTCAATAAATTCAAGGTGAAATATATGAATCGATTCTCTCGTTATTGTATTTATTGCTAAATATACTCGAAAATCAAAAGCTATATTTTTTCAGGACGAATAACAGGTTAAAAACGTTATAAGAAATTTATAGGTTTAAAATAGAGTTTTAGAAATAATAAATTTTTTTGTCCATTCTTTTCCCACTTTATATATTATATATTGCAACGCATATGACTTTAAAATGCTTGGTGTAGTGGGGCAGGTGGAAGCATTGTCCATGTCTGTGTAATGGATGTCGGGCATGTGCAATTCATCCTTATTTTCCTCGAAATTGACATGGTTAGAGTGAGCAAAATGCCTGAATTCCTACGTTCCATTTTGGATTATTAGTTGTTGGCTTCTTAATTATTTCTTTCTATCAACATTTCATAGGCTGTTTCGTGAATAGTTTAGTGGAGATTTAGGTATATGATGACAAGAAGGGTGTAACAATAGAAAGTGGGTGCAAAGTCAGAATCATATGAATGCACGCCCAACATTTATTTAAAGAATTTATTTTCGACTACATGTGTCTAGTGAGTTAGGTTGTGCTTCCGAATATATTATTAATAACGAATTATTTTCATTTGGATATGTAATGTGAGTTAAATACTTCATAAAGGTGTAAAGTGAGTAACATTATTGTGACTTCAATTTTTGTACGGATGTCGTGACAAACAGAATTTCGACTACCTTTACTCCACGTAGGCACCATTGTACGTTGGAACACACCAGTAGAGGAATAATGTCACCAGTTGAGTAAAAGTTCACGTGATCGTTTGCATTTCAACTATCAAGTCAACGGTCAAACAGAGAGAACAAGAGCAAGAACTGGAGAGGAGGATTTGACTAGAGTTTAAGTAATGTTACCTTTGGACATGTATAAGAGGAATGACATGGGCTAAAATATGTTTAATGAAATGGGCTCAGGTCCAAGCTTCCAATTAAATAATCGATGTTGAGCCGACATGGTGGGACCCCTCCGTGTGTAAGTCATGAAATTTAAAGATATAACAATAGTCCCAAAGTTTGACTCATACATTCATGTACGGGTCAGACTTGTAAATATAAGTTATCAACTAAGAGAGCTTATGAATTGCCTCAAAAATATGAACCGTCATGAACAGATGAATACTTGTAAATAGTCTTATGGATATGAGATTTTATAGATGGCCTCTGAAATATAAACAACTCCAATAAGTGAGGACTAACGAACCGCCTCTAAAATATCACACTAAGATTTATTACAATTTCGACAGCACATTCTCTATAATATGGACTAAACAAACATAAAATGCAATACAATATTTCGATTGCACATATACAAAATAAATTGGTGCCACATTTGAACCCTCCAAATACTCATGACGATAAAGTAGAATAATGATAAGATCAAATTCCTTCAAGTTGTAATATGTAGAGAGTCTATCATGTACCATAACAAATAATATGCTTGCACAATTTAGAGTAGCATTATTTCTAATGTGAAGCAAGTACCATGTTGATAATGTAGATAACGTGACATACGTACAGACTGTAATGAAAATAGTATCATTACATACTATCAATAATATGACATGCGTAGTAGTACTAATAAATACTAGGTGCAAGCAACGTGCAATGCACGTTTGCTGAATTTATATTTAATATTTTTTTAATAATTAATTTGTTATTAATAAAGATATATTTTTTTTGG